ATGCATCTAAATTGATTCCAGAACTAAAACAAACAAGAGTCCCATCCCCCTCCCTGTCTCTGTGTCCTCTTTTCATATCACTTGGTATCACTCTGGAAAGATTGCATCCAAGATCATATCATTTATTTTAGTTTCCACTATTGCAATTACGTCAGGATCTGCTTCACTAACCCTTTCTTTTATTTCCTCTGTTTTATTGGATACCCCATCAACATTGGTGTACCAAACCTTGAGACTCTTCTTGGAAACATTGTTACCGGAGTTCATAGCTCATCTGCCTATACGTCTCCCTCGGTGTGTGCTGCAGGTGAGAGATGGATGCTGTCCAATCTCCAATAAGTGGTTTTGAGGTGGGAAGTGCCTGGGAATAGGGAGGGGGATGAGTGGCTGAGGGGATCTGGGGGGCAGATGGGGCCTGAGTAACTAGGGGGGATCTGGAGGGGGAGGGGCGAATGGGATCTGGGCAGCTAGGATTGTCTGAAGGGCATAGTGGGTCTGAGTGGTAGGGAGTTAGAAAGAGGGGGTGTGCTAGAAGCAGGGGCAGGTATGGGGTTTGGGGTGGAAAAGGGGTAAGTGGGAGGTGGTGGCTCAGGATAGGAGTGGGGCAAGATAAAGGGTGTTTGAGGGCGGTGGAGAGGTGAAGGGAGAAGAGGATTGGGGGAGGGGGCCACGGGGGTCATAATGATACATACACAACTTACATGGTATTCAAGTTAGGGAAAGTGGCCTGTAGTTCAGTGCCTCTTGCCTGTCACTCTTTTTGGTTATTGGGACTACATTAGCTGTCTTCCAGCTTTCTGGTAGGTTTCCTGTGTCCAGTGACCGGTTATACACCATAGAGAGTGGTACACTTGGTGCTTCTGCACCCTCTTTTAGTATCCATGGTGAGATTCTGTCAGACCCAACAGCCTTTGTCACATTCAGCACATGGTTTATCGATTCTTCTCTTTGTTCTATTGTGAACACCTCCTGGAATCTCTTGTAGAGTTTTTCACACACCTTGTCATTCTGTGTATCTGTTCTCCCCTTTACTCAGTTTCATCACTTGTTCCTTCACTGCTGTTTTTCTCCTGATGTTACTGTGAACAGTTTTGGTTGGGTCTCTGCTTTACTCGTGATATTTTCATACTGTCTGTCTGCTTCTCTCCTCACTCTGAAGTACTCATTCATGGCCCTTTGATTTCTTCCTCTACTCTCAGGTGTTCCATTGTTTTAGAACAATTGTGTTTAGAACAATTTAGAATTGTTTTGTCATTTCTATTGTTTCTCCATATTTTTGTACATAATTGCTTTCCTTCCTTACTTGCCTGATTGAACCAATTTGATTCAATCAGGCCTACCCAAACGTATTTGGGTAGGTTTGTCCTTCTGTGGGGTAGTTACCAGGGGTATGGAGGGAGGTGGGGTGGGGGATGGAGGGCTTAGATCTTGCCTGGCCTGCTTGGGGCAGGAGGACGACCAGGGGATGGTGAGGCTGGGGGGCATGGGGTGAAGAGGAAGGGAGGATTTGGGGTGACATGATAGGCATTGTGTAGGGGGAAGGGAGGGTTTGGGCTTTAGGTGGGGAGGAGGGGCTCCTATGGGGTGGCAGGTGGGGGGTGTTGCAGTCCTCTCTGGGGTTTCTGAATTGCTGGTTGTGGTTTCCCCACTCCCCTCTGGGATTGTTGGGCTGGAGGCTGTGGCTCCCTGGCTCCCTTCCCTCTCCCTGCGCCTTTTCCTTGTATCTGCTGCCTGCATTATCTTGTCCCTAGTCATGTCCCTCTGAAGGAATTCCATTACATTTTGGAGTTTAGTTTTCTTTACTAGAATGTCCTCTTTGGTCGCCTCGTTCTTCAGTTCGTTTATCATTTGATTTTTGTCTTTGTTGTACCGGGCAAGCCGGAAAAACTTGTCAATGAATTGCTCAGACCCTTCCATTTATATCATTTGTATTTCCATCAGGATGCCTGACACTGCGGCTTTGTCCTTAGCCCTACACTCTTCCTGCATGAACCCTTCTTGTTCCCTAATACCTAACATTACTACTGCTCTTTTTCCTTTCCACTAGCTGGCCCATACACCTTGCTGCCTCCGGTGAAGTTGCTGCTTTTATTGCAACTTCCTCGACTGTGGACATGGCTTCTGGGCTCTTTCTCAACAGAAGCCATGTCCACAGTCAAGGAAGTCACAGTTACTCTTTTCCTTTGTACTCAGCTAGTTGTGTTTGTGGGGATTGAGCTTTGGTCCCGCCTCTCAACTGTCAATCAACTGGTGTACAGATTTCTGAGCCTACTGGGCTCTATCATATTTACATTTGAAACTGTGTATGGAGTCAGCCTCCACCACAGGCAGCATGCCTAATGAATCCCATTTGTTAACTACTCTGACACTGAAAAAATTCTTATTAAATGTCGGCGAGTGTGCGTGTGTGTATGTTTAATATTTGTGTCTGCACAATTAGCTCATGGGCCCTGCCTTTTTAACCGATATATTGTGTATTCACCTAGTTGTGCTTACGGGGTTTGAGCTCTGCTCTTTCGGCCCGCCTCTCAACTGTCAATCAACTGTTTCTACTGCTACTATTTTTTCCCCCCACACACACACCACGAAGCAGCCCGTGACAGCTGACTAACTCCCAGGTACCTATTTACTGCTAGGTAACAGGGGCATAGGATGAAAGAAACTCTGCCCATCGTTTCTCGCCGGCGCCCGGGATCAAACCTGGGACCACAGGATCACGTGTCCAGCGAGCTGTCCGCTCGGCCGGCCGGCTCCCGTGTGTGTGTGTGTGTGTGTGTGTGTGTGTGTGTGTGTGTGTGTGTGTGTGTGTGTGTGTGTGTGTGTGTGTGTGTGTGTGCTCACCTATTTGTGCTTGCGGGGGTTGAGCTCTGGCTCTTTGGTCCCGCCTCTCAACTGTCAACCAACTGGTGTACAGGTTCCCAAGCCTACTGGGCTCTATCATATCTACACTTGAAACTGTGTATGGAGTCAGCCTCCACCATATCACTGCCTAATGCATTCCATCTGTTATCTACTCTGTCACTGAAAAAGTTTAGTGTCTTCAATGTGTGCGCGCGTGTGCGTACGCACGATGATTTTGGGCATAGGGATCTCGATAAGCCTAACAGGCTTATCGCTTATTCCAGTTCCCAACAAAGGAAATTCACATATGTACACATCCAGTCAACTTAAAACATATTCCCATGATATTAAGTACACATGCGAGAGTTTGCACGCACAAGAGCACGCACGCACGTACAAGAGCACGCACGCACGTACAAGAGCACGCACGCACAAGAGCACGCACGCACGTACAAGAGCATGCACGCACAAGAGCATGCACGCACAAGAGCACGCACGCACAAAAACACGCACATACTATCAACAAAGAAAAATTCTTATTATTCTTCCACAATACAAGTCACCCCCATGAATCCTTTATATAAATATCCCGTTTTCTGTAATACAATCAAAAGTTAATCGAATGTGATGTTTATTTTCCGTAGAGTTAATCTTCACTAATTTTCTCATGTACCTAATATGTTAATAAAAAAAAAAAAAAAAAGTGTGCTCTGACTTGTATTACCACTGCTACCTTATTCAATCTTGCGTTGTTGATATCCTCAAAATGCACCCAGAGTCTGCCAGTGCAGACTGCCTATCACATGCCTCTGTATGACTAACCATCCTGCGAGATGGGGACTTGTATTACCACTGATACCTTATTCAATCTTGTGTTGTTGATATCCTCAAAATGCATCCGGAGTCTGCCAGTGCAGACTGCTTATCACATGCCTCTGTATGACTAACCATCCTGTGTGATGGGGATTTTTTAGCATCACCTAGTTAGCTTTTTTGACACACTGTACTCCACTTCATATAGTCTAGGGTAGCTGCACTAATGCAGATGTACCTAATATGTTAATAATAATAATAATAATAATAAAAAAAATGTGCTCTGTTGAGACTATTTTGTTCTGATAGGACCGAAATCACAGGCTTCCGAAGGCCTGACAGCACTAGTATATAAAGCTATGATTTTTTAGATACAAAATCTATGTTTATGGGCAGCACAAAACGTCCACCAGACTGTACTCACCTAGTTGTGCTTGCGGGGATTGAGCTTTGTCTCTTTGGTCCCGCCTCTCAATCGTCAATCAACTGGTGCCCAGAAGGCTCAGATTCCTGAACCTACTGGGCTCTATCATACCTGTATTTGAAACTGTGTATGGAGTCAGTCTCCACCACATCACTTCCTAGTGCATTCCAATTATTAAGTACTTTGACATTGAAAAAATTCTTTCTAACGTCCCTGTGACTCATCTTGGTACTAAGTTTCCACCTGTGCGACACAGTGGTTGCCAGGATCAGGTTGGGTTACCGTTACCTGTGGCAGGTGGCTACAGGTGACGGATCTCCCAATCCTGAGCACTCCAGGTGCCAACTCTGTGAGCAGGAACTGCGGCATGATCTCCCACACTACATCACCGAAGGCCCAGTCATTAGATGGTTCAGATCCGCTGGTATGAGGTACCTGGAGCTTTGTAATCACTTTATTAACTCGTGTTCTTGACGATATCCTCATAATGCATCCAAAGTGCCATTATGAGGCTACTGACCACATACCCATGTTTGACTAACTACACTCCAAGATGGGGATTTACAACATCACACAGCTAGCACTTGACACACACTGTAACACTTCGTATAGGCCGGGGGCAGCTGCATAAATGACACATGTTGGTGGAAAACTATTGTTAAAATTGAATTTATTTAATTAAAACAGTAAGGAGTTAATTAAGAATCCCTAATTTCATATAATTATCTCAATGAATATATAACATATATATATATGTGTGGTACTTACCTAATTGTGCTTGCGGGGGTTGAGCTGTGGTTCTTTGGTCCCGCCTCTCAACCTCTCAACTGTGTGTGTGTGTGTGTGTGTGTGTGTGTGTGTGTGTGTGTGTGTGTGTGTGTGTGTGTGTGTGTGTGTGTGTGTGTGTGTGTGTAATAATCGTGTGCCAATTGTGAGAATAATATAATAATTGATATTATTATTGCTCGCACACCCGAATTAACCAGTTTTAAAGATAACTTCTATTGTGCTAAAATGTGTCCAGCACTATTCCATACACTCTTGCTTTACCAATTTAAACCTTTACATGTATTTTACAGTATCAGACAGAAAGGGGGAAATGGAGAAGAGGGAGACAGGTACTTGGGTCACTGATATACAGGTGTATTAGAGGCATTCATACACCCCTCTAATACATCTTAGAGTTAGAGGGGGGGAGGAGGAGGAGTTAGAGGTCCACATGAGGGAGAGAAGTGTTGAGGATCGTAACTGCCCTAAATGTACATGGTAAGTACGGGGAAGAAGGTGGTGAGGACCTGGCCCTAGGTGGTGCACTAGGGGGTATAGAGGAAGGCAGGAGGTAGGTAGGTAGGTAGGTAGGTAGGTAGGTAGGTAGGTAGGTAGGTAGGTAGGTAGGTAGGTAGGTAGGTAGGTAGGTGAGGACTCACCTCCGTAGGTGAAGCTCTTGGGTTGAGGTGTGGAGCAGCCTGCCGCGGCGCTGGACCGCCTGGACCTGTGGGATCAAGATACACGTGAGTTACCGCAGCTCCCTCTGGCCCGCCCCAACACAACACTCATAGCATTATACTAATAATGGCACGAAAGGCGGGACTTGGGAGCTGATGCTCGTGCCTACAAGCACGTCTAGCAAGGAAATATATATGCTAGAACACACATGTCGAGAGATACCCCCCCCAAGCACACACACATGCTCGCACGCACATACATACAACATACGCACACATGCACGGGCGCGCGCGCGCTGACGGAACTATACAACTCTTTGTCCCCTTATTATATAATAGGACTTAAGTGACACAAATTGGGAACGCGTTGCAGCGACCATCATAGAGAGGTGGATCAGCTGGTGTTTACACCTGGTCAGCTGGTGTTTACACCTGGTCAGCTGGTGTTTACACCTGGTCAGCTGGTGTTTACACCTGGTCAGCTGGTGTTTACACCTGGTCAGCTGGTGTTTACACCTGGTCAGCTGGTGTTTACACCTGGTCAGCTGGTGTTTACACCTGGTCAGCTGGTGTTTACACCTGGTCAGCTGGTATATACACCTGGTCAGCTGGTGTTTACACCTGGTCAGCCGGCGAGCGGAGGAGTCTGCCTCAACTGACCCACAAGAGAGTGGGTGCTGGGAGAGTCCTGCTCCTTCACCCACAAGGAAGCAATAATAATGCTTTTGTGTACAACTGGACTGCCACTGGAAGAGTGTATCCGAGTAGGAATGACCGCCAGGCATGACAACGTGTCGAGTCATGGGCTGAATATTTCAGTCCATATATCCAACATTCTTACTACCAGGAGTCATTATGACAGGTACACATCATAGTCAATAATGCTGGCTCCTCCACCAGGGAGGCTGAGATCTCTTATCTTGAGGTTATCTTGAGATGATTTCGGGGCTTTAGTGTCCCCGCGGCCCGGTTTTCGACCAGGTCTCCACCCCCAGGAAGCAGCCCGTGACAGCTGACTAACACCCAGGTACCTATTTTACTGCTAGGTAACAGGGGCATAGGGTGAATGAAACTCTGCCCATTGTTTCTCGCCGGCGCCTGGGATCGAACCCGGGACCACAGGATCACAAGTGCAGCGTGCTGTCCACTCGGCCGACCGACTCTTCCTCCTGCCTCAAGCATGGTGGCTTAGGCTGTCTTTACTAAACAGTTTAAGAAACCCCGAAGCGCTTTTGAGATCGTCCTCAACCCAAGATTATTTTTGTTACACAGTTGACTAGTGCGCGTCTGGGAACCCTCGCCGTATAGGTTCGAACCCTCATTACGGCTCCTGTGAATTTGTTGGTTATTAGTGTTGTTATGGACAACTTCGTAGCGATTTGGAGCTTGGGTAAGTGCGAGTTAAGGCGCCATGATTGAGATGTGCGGGAGAGCGACGGTGGGAATGTGGTCTCGTGGGCCCCGCTGGCTGGTATACGGCCACCCACCTCATCGCAATGACAGCTTTAAACCTACTGGTGGCACTCTCTCCTCACACAACCTGCCTCTCTCCCTCTACACTCATCATACCTTTGGTGGTTTCTAGCGTTCAGAGAGGTGATGTGTCGCTAAGGAGATGTGTGTGTGTGTGTACTCACCTACTTCACCTATTTGTGCTTGCAGGATCGAGCATTGACTCTTGGATCCCGCCTTTCGAGCCATCGGTTGTTTACAGCAATGACTCCTGTCCCATTTCCCTATCATACCTAGTTTTAAAAGTATGAATAGTATTTGCTTCCACAGCCTGTTCCCCAAGTGCATTCCATTTTTCCACTACTCGCACGCTAAAAGAAAACTTCCTAACATCTCTGTGACTCATCTGAGTTTCCAATTTCCACCCATGTTCCCTCGTTCTGTTATTATTACGTGTGAACATTTCATCTATTTCCACTTTGTCAATTCCCCTGAGTATTTTATATGTCTCGATCATATCTCCTCTCTCCCTTCTTTTCTCTAGTGTCGTAAGGTTCATTTCCTACAGACGCTCTTCATATCCCATCATATGTGTGTGTGTGGGGGGGGGGGGAGCAGTGGATGGTGATGGGTAGTGTCATGGGGGAGCAGGGGTAGTGTAGGGATGCAGACCCTGACCTGCTTCCCTACACCTGCAGGCCCTGACCTGCTTCCCTACACCTGCAGGCCCTGACCTGCTTCCCTACACCTGCAGGCCCTGACCTGCTTCCCTACACCTGCAGACCCTTACCTGCTCCCTACACCTGCAGACCCTGACCTGCTCCCTACACCTGCAGACCCTGACATGCTCCCTACACCTGCAGACCCTGACCTGCTCCCTATACCTACAGGCACTGACCTGCTTCACTACACCTACAGGCCCTAACCTGCTCACTACACCTGCAGACCCAGACCTGCTTCCCCAACACCTGCAGGCCCTGACCTGCTCCCCCACACCTGCAGACCCTGACCTGCTCCCTACACCTGCAGACCCTTACCTGCTCCCTACACCTGCAGACCCTTACCTGCTCCCTACACCTGCAGACCCAGACCTGCTTCCCCTACACCTGTAGGCCCTGACCTGCTCCCCCACACCTGCAGACCCTTACCTGCTCCCTACACCTGCAGGCCCTGACTTGCTCCCTACACCTGCAGGCCCTGACTTGCTCCTTACACTTGCAGACCCTGACCTGCTCCCTACACTTGCAGACCCTGACCTGCTCCCTACACCTGCAGGCCCTGACCTGCTCCCTACACCTGCAGGCCCTGACTTGCTCCCTACACCTGCAGGCCCTGACTTGCTCCTTACACTTGCAGACCCTGACCTGCTCCCTACACTTGCAGACCCTGACCTGCTCCCTACACTTGCAGACCCTTACCTGCTCCCTACACCTGCAGGCCCTGACTTGCTCCTTACACTTGCAGACCCTGACCTGCTCCCTACACTTGCAGACCCTGACCTGCTCCCTACACTTGCAGACCCTTACCTGCTCCCTACACCTGCAGGCCCTGACTTGCTCCCTACACCTGCAGGCCCTGACCTGCTCCCTACACCTGCAGGCCCTGACCTGCTCCCTACACCTGCAGCTGATTAAATGTCGAATAATTCATAACAATTGTTCATCTTCCTCTACTTTGTCACGTTCTTCCGCCCTCCTCACCGTTCCATGTTCACTGTTCCCTCTATCCTTCCACTGTTCTCTCTTCCCTCTATCCTTCCTTTCTTCTTAATCCACTATTGTCTATTACTCTCCATCCACCTCTAGTTTTGAAAACCTCTCAATCACCCCCTCTTACTTATTTTCTTATTAATGCTATCCTCTTCGTATCTTCTTTATCATTCCCCGCTGCTCCACACCCCCCCACACACACACCCCCCCCACACACCCACACACACACCCCCCCCATACACCCACACCCCCACACCCACACCAACAACAGGTGCGTCTACTCACTTGGTGGTGGAGACATTGGTGAGGTTGATGTAGTTGTTCCTGACAGATCTGAGGGAGGCGAGGATCTGGGCGAACGGTGTGACGATGAGGTCCTCGCCATGTCTGGGGAAGAACATTACAAGCTTAGTCTCTCGTCTCAAACTCCTGCATCTCCTTGGATTTATGTAACGTGAAATACAAGTGGCATGATATTGGGCATAAGTGGCATGATATTGGGCATAAGTGGCATGATATTGGTCATAAGTGGCATGATATTGGTCATAAGTGGCGTGATATTGGCCATAAGTGGCGTGATATTGGCCATAAGTGGCGTGATATTGGCCATAAGTGGCATGACACTGGCCATAAGTGGCATGACACTGGTCATAAGTGGCATGACACTGGTCATAAGTGGCATGACACTGGCCATAAGTGGCATGACACTGGTCATAAGTGGCATGACACTGGCCATAAGTGGCATGACACTGGCCATAAGTGGCATGACACTGGTCATAAGTGGCATGACACTTGTCATAAGTGGCATGACACTGGTCATAAGTGGCATGACACTGGCCATAAGTGGCATGACACTGGCCATAAGTGGCATGACACTGGCCATAAGTGGCATGACACTGGTCATAAGTGGCATGACACTGGTCATAAGTGGCATGACACTGGCCATAAGTGGCATGACACTGGTCATAAGTGGCATGACACTGGTCATAAGTGGCATGACACTGGTCATAAGTGGCATGACACTGGTCATAAGTGGCATGACACTGGTCATAAGTGGCATGACACTGGTCATAAGTGGCATGACACTGGCCATAAGTGGCATGACACTGGCCATAAGTGGCATGACACTGGTCATAAGTGGCATGACACTGGTCATAAGTGGCATGACACTGGTCATAAGTGGCATGACACTGACCATAAGTGGCATGACACTGGCCATAAGTGGCATGACACTGGCCATAAGTGGCATGACACTGACCACAAGTGGCATGACACTAACCATAAGTGGCATGACACTGACCATAAGTGGCATGACACTGGTCATAAGTGGCATGACACTGACCACAAGTGGCATGACACTGGTCATAAGTGGCATGACACTGGCCATAAGTGGCATGACACTGGCCATAAGTGGCATGACACTGGTCATAAGTGGCATGACACTGACCACAAGTGGCATGACACTGGTCATAAGTGGCATGACACTGGCCATAAGTGGCATGACACTGGCCATAAGTGGCATGACACTGGCCATAAGTGGCATGACACTGACCATAAGTGGCATGACACTGGTCATAAGTGGCATGACACTGACCACAAGTGGCATGACACTGGTCATAAGTGGCATGACACTGGTCATAAGTGGCATGACACTGGCCATAAGTGGCATGACACTGGTCATAAGTGGCATGACACTGACCATAAGTGGCATGACACTGGTCATAAGTGGCATGACACTTGCCATAAGTGGCATGACACTTGCCATAAGTGGCATGACACTTGCCATAAGTGGCATGCATGCACAAGTTGTTTACATTTGTGGGGTGCAAGAACTGCTTTACAATTTATAACTGCTTTATAATGCTGCTGCTAATAACTGCTTTACAATTACAAAATATGAAAGTATTCTTTAAACTTAACACTTATGCCAATGTTTAGAAACGCATTAGAACACCCATTTGAGGAGCCACAGGTCAGGAACCTAGGTTATCTTGAGTTATCTTGAGATGATTTCGGGGCTTTTTTAGTGTCCCCGCGGCCCGGTCCTCGACCAGGCCTCCACCCCCAGTAACAAAACCCCCAGTGACCAGGTACAAAAGGTCACGAAACAAGTTACTAAAAAGGTCAGCATTCAGTAATAAAAAGCAGCCATTACACGAGTCAAAATTCAACAAATTAATTGTAAAGGTTTTAAAATTATATTTACAACCAAAAACTTCACAGACTCACCCAACGCATGCTTGTACAGGTGTACAGATTTGCCATATATATATATATATATATATATATATATATATATATATATATATATATATATATATATATATATATATATAACTTTAGAACACTTTCCCACCAGGAGACTCGAACCCTAGCCAGCACAGAAGCCTTCCAGCAACTGGCATAACAGGTACGCCTTAACCCTCTCCACCACCCGCTCAGACCCTTAAAAGAGATGGTAATTTCGGAGTATTTAAATACCCCAAAGATCAACACCTCCCAAGAGCACCAGAGCAAGTGAGGGGTCATTTAGCAGAGACACTGTGTCTTCCCATATTAACAGGGACTTGATGAAATTAACGTCTAAATGACCCCTCACTTGCTCTGGTGCTCTTGGGAGGTGTTGATCTTTGGGGTATTTAAATACTCCGAAATTACCATCTCTTTTAAGGGTCTGAGCGGGTGGTGGAGAGGGTTAAGGCGTACCTGTTATGCCAGTTGCTGGAAGGCTTCTGTGCTGGCTAGGGTTCGAGTCTCCTGGTGGGAAAGTGTTCTAAAGTTGTAAACTTAACTCTCGTGTTTAGGAGAGTTGTGCCATATATATATATATATATATATATATATATATATATATATATATATATATATATATATATATATATATATATATGTCGTACCTAGTTGCCAGAACGCACTTCTTAGCCTACTATGCAAGGCCCGATTTGCCTAATAAGCCAAGTTTTACTGAATTAATATAGTTTCTCTAATTTTGTTCTTATGAAATGATAAAGCTACCCATTTCATTATGTATGAGGTCAATTTTTTTTTATTGGAGTTAAAATTAACGTAGATATATGACCGAACCTAACCAACCCTACCTAACCTAACCTAACCTATCTTTATAGGTTAGGTTAGGTTAGGTAGCCGAAAAAGTTAGGTTAGGTTAGGTAGGTTAGGTAGTCGAAATACAATTAATTCATGAAAACTTGGCTTATTAGGCAAATTAGGCCTTGCATAGTAGGCTGAGAAGTGCGTTCTGGCTACTAGGTACGACATATATATATATATATATATATATATATATATATATATATATATATATATATATATATATATATATATGGTAAAAATATACAACTGCGAAGTACAAAATAATTTGCAAAAGTATACGGAAAAAATGGCCAGGACCCGGATTCACGAAGCGGTTACGCAAGTACCTTTACGAACGTGTTCATCTTTCCTCAATCACTGACGGCTTTGGTAACATTTATTAAACAGTTTACAAGCATGAAAACTTCCCCAATCAACTGTTGTTATTGTTATAAACAGTCTCCTGGTGCTTCGGAGCTCATTAACTGCTTAATAATTGTAAACAAAGCCGCCAAAGATTGAGAAAAGATGTACAGGTTCGTAAGTGCTTGCGTAACTGCTTCGTGAATCTGGGCGGGCTCGGGGAGTAGAAGAACACTCGAAACCCTCTTCAGGTATATAAAATAGCATTATAAAAGATCGAGCCCAGATAATAGCGTGTCAAGCAAAACCAGAAAAGGTAAAAAAAAAAGCCATTAAAGACCGGGTAATTAAAATTAGTCTTTGGTCAGCAAGATACCTAAAAAAAAAAAAAAAAAGACTCCGAGAGAGACGTCTATAAGAACAAATTTCAAACATCCCTTAATTACTTTATTAAAAATTATAATAAATTTAAAATAGAAATACTTGTAACAAAACCCATTCCATCGCGACGGTGTCTTGGCTGGTCCATGTTGGGGTCAAGAGGTCAACAAGCAGTTGGGTGATTTAGGGGTCAATAAGGGTCAACTTCGGGTAAAAGTGCTTATATACTTCAGAGAGGGGGAGGGGGGGGGTGTACATTTTACTGTTAAAAGTAGGTGAACAGTTGTTCATCGTAGGGTCAATACAACATCGGTCACCATATAGATCAAATTAGGTCAGCCTGAGATTACCACAGGGTCAAAAAAGGTCAACACAGTCACCAAATGGTCCAAAAAGGTCAACACAGTCACCATAGGGTCCAAAAAGGTCAACACAGTCACCGTAGGGTCCAAAAAGGTCAACACAGTCACCATAGGGTCCAAAAAGGTCAACACAGTCACCATAGGGTCAAAAAAGGTCAACACAGTCACCATATGGTCCAAAAAGGTCAACACAGTCACCATAGGGTCCAAAAAGGTCAACACAGTCACCATAGGGTCCAAAAAGGTCAACACAGTCACCATAGGGTCAAAAAAGGTCAACACAGTCACCATAAGGTAAAAAAAGGTCAACACAGTCACCATAAGGTAAAAAAAAGGTCAACACAGTCACCATAGGGTCCAAAAAGGTCAACACAGTCACCACAGGGTCAAAAAAAGGTCAACAGTCACCATAGGGTCAAAAAATAGGTCACCACAGTCACCATAGGGTCAAAAAATGTCAACACAGTCACCATAAGGTAAAAAAAAGGTCAACACAATCACCATAAGGTAAAAAAAAGGTCAACACAGTCACCATAAGATAAAAAAAAGGTCAACACAGTCACCATAGGGTCCAAAAAGGTCAACACAGTCACCACAGGGTCAAAAAAAGGTCAACAGTCACCATAGGGTCAAAAATAGGTCAACACAATCACCATAGGGTCCAAAAAGGTCAACATATTCGCCATAAACTCAAAGAAGACGAACATAAACACCTTCAGGCCAATCTAACTCACAACACGTGGTGGCCTTAAGGGTCAAAATAGGTCACAAAACGCGGCCACCAAAAAGATGAACCCCTGCCCCCCCCCCACCCCTCCCCCCACCCCAGTCTCGAAGTGTAGGAACATGTGATCAACATATGCTCAAAGTAGGTCAACATGGGGAGGACAGAGTCAACACGAGGGTGGACATCATAAACTTCAGGTGGGACTAAGGTCAGAGGGCAACAAAGGTCACCCTACGATATTAACGCGACACCGGAGAGCGAAGCGGCTCGTTAAATCGCGATCCGCGCTATTTAATCCTGAGTAAATCCACGATTAGCTTAAACAAAAGACGGATTGGAAATAAAAAAGAAAATACTCACACGGCCACACTCACTCAAGTTTAATATGATGATAATTACATGCTATAATGAGTTTATTATCAAGTACGTCATTAGTTAGGGCATGTTAGGCGGGGGTCGGATTA